TAAACTAAAATTTAGCAAAGATACCAAGTCCTTAGAACAGTAGTGGTTTTAGGAGCCAGGAGAAGGCTCAGTGGAATAAGTGCTTCCCAGGCAAACAGTACTGGTTTTACCTATTTTTTGATTCTTTATCCAGTAACAACTGAATGTTATCTTTTCAAGTGTACATGGAATATTTATTTTTTTTAATGTTTTTATTGAGAAACAAATGCCAATGAGACAGTTTCACAACTAATTACTAGTACATTTTCAATAATTAATACATTGCATATTGTTGTCTTAGTGGTTATTCATTGTACAAGATGCAGAACTAATATCCTGTCTCATAGAATATTTATTTTTTTAAATTTATTTATTTGTGTGGGGGGGGCAGCTCAGCCCACCAGGGGCGGACTGGCTGGCATGTGGTGCTGGGGGATTGAACCGTGGTCCCTGTGCTTTGCTAAGCTTGTTCTAAGTAGGTGTTTTAGACCACTGAGCCATCTCACCAGCCCTCATGGAATATTTATTGTACTGAGTAATCAGGCCATAAACCAAAATTTAAAAAATTTAAAGACTAGTAATCACAAAAATTAAAGTCTCTAACTCTGCTAGAATTAAAGTAGGAATCAATGACAGAAAGCTAGGCGAGAGGGGAAAAAAGAAAGATGGAAAAGAAAATCCCAAAATATTTGGAGCACTTGTAAATAATTCATGGGTCAAAAAGAATTCTCAAGAATTAGAAAAAATTTTAACAGAATGAAATAAAAATACAAAATCAAAATACGTGGGTTGCAGCTAATAAAATGTAGAGAGGGAAATGTGTAGCATTGGGGAAAGCTCGGAACTATATGTCGTGGCATATGCCTGTAATCTCAGCATCTAGAAGGCTAAAGGCAGGAGGATCCCTGAAAGCTCAAGGTCACAAAGTGGCCTGGGCTACAAAGGGAGTTCAAAGCCAGCCTGACCTGTATAGTGAAATACAGGCACAAAAAGATAAAATCAAAACAAAACAAAAAACTAGGGCAATTTGAATAAAACAGACACTTTAATAATAATGCATCAAAATTGGTTAATTATATCACACACAATATATTATAAATATGTAAGAAAAATTATGTAGACTAACAAAAGTCATTTCCTTGTCTGCATCTTGTACAATGAATAACCACTAAGACAACAATATGCAATGTATTACTATAAATGTACCAGTAATCGGTTGTGAAACTGTCTCATTGATATTTGTTTCTCAATAAATTTTAAAAAATAAATTGAATATGCTCCAAAATTAAAAAAAAAAAAGTCATTTCCAAATGCATGGGATATTATAAACTACCTGAGCTTTTACCAAGTCAGTATTTTTGGTAAAGAAAAAAGTTTTAAAGAAAAGAAGAAAGCAAAGACTAAAAGGATAAAATAAAAATAAAGCAAATGAAAAAGAAGGAATCACTTTCTAGCAAGTGAAACAAAATAAATCATTTCCTAAAAATACAGACTTAACAATAAATTTCAGTCCTCTTCAATTCAGACAGCTGCTTCACAGCCACCTAATTGGCCTTGAAATACCACTCTTTAATTTTTTTTTCTGCTGTTTATTTATTTTTAGTATTTATTTATTGTGGGGGGGGCAGCTCAGCCCACCAGGGGGCGGGGCTGGCTGGCATGTGGTGCTGGGGGATCGAACCGCAGTCCCTGTGCTCTGCTAAGCTTGTTCTAAGTAGGTGCTTTAGACCACTGAGCCATCTCTCCAGCCCACCACTCTTTAATTTTTAAAAATTAATTTTTATTTTGTTTTTCAGTTGGATTATAACATTAAAAAAAAAAGTGATGGTTTCTCTTATAGGAGAAATCCAAAATATAAAGAGTAAAATAAAAGATAGATTGTGGGAAACAGGGATGAAGACTGTGGAGATGATAAGGGGACCTGGGGATGGGGGAAAACAGGAAGGTGTGGAGGGGAAGGAAAAATAAAAATCAAGACTGGACATATAGCTCTGAGGAACAAGCAACTGCCTGGTGAGTGCAAGGTCCTGAATTTGATTCCCAGTATTAAAAAAAAAAAGAGAGAAAAAGGGAAATAAAAATGATTAAGATGCAATTATGTGTATAGGCACTAATTCCCCAGGATGAATATCATTATTTATTGCAAACATACACAAATTTAAAAAAATAAACTAAATACAAATAAATGTATTTGCCCTGACACAGATACCATCTCACAAGCCAGAACTCACAGCACAGTAACTACAAACATGTACTAATAAAAATTTTTTAAAGTTAAAGAATAAAATTTCAAAAACAAAATTCCTAGTCTATTCTGCCACTATCTCTGGGTATACAAATCATTAAGTTAAAGTTAGAAGTTTGTTGGGCTGGCCAGATAGCTCAGTGGACTAAAGTGCCTACTTTGGCAGAGCACATTGGCCAAGGAACCCTGGTGTACTGTGCTAGCCCCAGCTAGCGTACTAGGGGTGTGCTGAGCTGGCGATTGAGACTGGGCATGGTGGAGCACCTATAATCCTGGTGCTTGGGAGGTTGAAAACAGGAGGATCACTGAGTCAGGTCTACCTAATGAGACCCTGTAGACCCTGTCCTAAATTCATTAAAAAGAAGTTTGTCACTTAGAAGTAATTTTTAAAAAGGAATATTCATGTTCATTTAAGGAATATGACAGAATGTTATGGTTCATAATTACAACTTACTCTAGATTTTCAGATGCTGCCCAGCAGAAAGTCCAGACATAGGAAGGCTTCAGTCTATAGCATTAGCTTTTGCTTAACACTCAGGCGCTGAGTACCTGAGGTGAAAACCTAGTTAGAAAGAACTTTACAGCAAAGTCTCCACTGGTAAGGTAATAGTATCGGGAATATTATGTGGCCTGGAAGAAATCTATTACTACCCAATGCAATTCAGCCTCCAGATGAGCCAAGTGAGGTCACATAAGCCCAATGTAGACTTTGCCTGTCACAGGGCAATTATCCTGCATATCCAGGCGATAATCAAGATCTGCCTGTCTACTGGTGCACCCCTGGGTAATTAATCTATATGTTCACCCATGCCTACAAGGTGTTCAGAGAGGAATACCACCTCAGTGATGATTATCAACGTGTGGTGTAATATAGCAACGTGGACTGCTGAAGGGGGTTTGGCAGGTAGCATCCTTCCTTATGCTCTACAACCTTCCCCAGGATAGGAAGTAACTATGTAAGTTTGCTAAATGGTCCTTAGGCTAGAGAGAACATAGATACAGGAAGAAAATGCCCCTTTCTTCCTCTGTGGAACAATGGCTCAAACAATATACTTCCTAGGCAAAATGAAGGCTCCACGCAAACCAGATTCTGTACATTTAAACTGTGAGAGGAAAGCAGTCCCTTGTAACTTACAACCAAATCCTTTCTGAAAATTCCAACCTGGGATAAGAGGACTTGCAAGATAGCTCAGCAGACTAAGTGCTTGCTTAGGCAAGGGTAGGGACCAGGGTTCGATCCCTGGCATCACATGCCGCACCAGCAACAGCTGAGCTGGCCACCGAGACCGGGCGTGGTGGCACATGCCTATAATCCCAGCATTGAGCTGTGCAGTGAGACCCTGTACCAAATACATTAAAAAAAAAAAGTAAAAAACAAACCTGGAATAAAGGCTTTGTTGCTATCCAAAGAAACAAATTGTTTTTTTTCTAAAATAAGCTAGTATATTTTTGAACTATTTACTTGTTAAAATAAGTGAATTTGTTAAAAAGTATAACACAATCTAGTAAATAACTATGGTTCTATAATTGTCAAATAACATTCAATAGTCCCTTATTATCGAATAAAACTCACAAGCAATGCACACTGGTACATGTTCTCCTTGATGTGCCCAATAAAGGCAATAACAGAGAAAACTTGGGCTAGGGAGATAGCTCAGCAGCGTAAGTACCTGCCTGGTAAGTTCAAGGTCCTGAGTTCAATCCCTGATATCACAAAAAAAAAAAAAAAAAAAAAAAAACTTAAAAGAAAACTAAACACCAGCTACACAACAGTGGTGCATGTCTAAATCCCAACATTCAAAAGGCTGAGGCAAAAGGATTATGAGGACAGCCTAAACTACGTAGTGAATTCTAAGCTGGCCTGAATTACATAGCAAGACTCTGTCTCAAAAAACAAAAATCACAAATCTGTCAGAAAAATGAAAGACCACAGAGATGTCCACATCAGTCTCCTCCTCAGAGCCAAACAGCAAAAAGAAATACTCAAGAATTTGCTGAATTAAAAGAAAAAAGACAAAAAGAATTCCCTGAATAAACCAGTGGCATATACCTTATCACCCCTGTCCTCAGGAGGCTGAGGAAAAATCAAGAATTTGAGGCCAGCCTAGGTCAACTCAGCATGCCCCTGTGTCTAAGTTTATTTATTTATTTTTTTAAAATGTTAATTTATTTATTTGTGTGTGTGGCCAGCTCAGCCCATCAGGGGGCGGGGCTGGCTGGTATGTGGTACTGGGGGATTAGAACTGCAGTCCCTGTGCTTTGCTAAGCTTGTTCTAAGTAGGTGCTTTAGACCACTGAGCCATCTCATCAGCCCCCCTGTGTCTAAGTTTAAAACAAAACAAAACAGTACTCAGAAGGTTGAGGCAGGCCAGCTTCTACATAATGAATCGAAGGCAGCCTAAGACTACACAGTGAGACCCTGTCTCAAAAACAAAACAAGACAAAGAGATTGGAGCATAGTTCAGTGACAGAGCACTTGCCTAGCATTTGTGAGACCTGCAACAGTTCCAGTACATGTTCAATCAGATTTTTAAAAAATCACAGTAAATTTCAATGAATTCTGGGCAGATCACTGACTTTTCTGAAGGAAAGAAAGTGATGGGAGTTGGCAAAAAACTTGCATGCATCTCTAACAGCTCACTTCCTTTCCTAAGGGGCTAACCCTGGAATGAGCAAACCATGTTATGTTCCTATGAAGCTCTGCCAGCATCCTTTTTATTAGAGTAATAAAAGTTTGAAGAGCAACAAATCCTGAAACAGCACCTTGACTACTTACAGGAGTTATGCCGGCGACGGAAGCTTTTGGACTGACTCAAGGGCTCCATGTGCCTGTCCACGTAGCTCTTAGAGCATTGCTGTTGCTGGGGAGAAACGGCAACATCCTGGCTCTTCACATCTGTCCTCTTAGGGATGTTTTGAGGGGCACTGCTGGAAGAAGTCAGCTTCTTGACCAACTTGCCTGTGCCATTCTGATTGATACCCACTTGGTACCCAACAGCAGAGGGACCTAATTCTGTCTGGTGAGGGTCTCCAAAATGGTGGCTGTCCCCAGGACCTGGTATCTCCAGTATTTTTAGTTCTGTGATATCACCTGCCCTGAAATACACAAGAGTCCAAGACTTAAAATTGCAGTAATGAAAAAGATGAAACTAGGATTAACAGCAAACAGCTATCCCTTTGCAAAACTAAATTTCAATGACTTATGAGAGGCAGAAACTAAGGATGGTGGCAGACGCTAAAAGAGAAGGCTCAGTCACTAACATTCAACTCACATAGCACTGATCCTAAAGTGACTACTGTTAATAACAAAGCTACATTATCATCTTATTCAGAATCCATAATGGCTTTTTAAAAAATTCATTCACTTACCTGCTCAGTCAAAAGACATAAAGAATATATACTTTGGGGGGGAGAAGCCTTTATGATAAGAACAGAATATACCGAGATAAAAATCAGTATGCGTCCACAAGGAACTCAAAGTCTGGTTGGAGAAGTACAAATACATAATGAAAGTGTTAAATGCTGTAAAAGATGTAAATATAAGGTCCTAGAGAGTCTAAAAGTAAAATACTTAAACTAATTTGGTAGACACAACACATAAGCTAAATCTGAGGTGGAGGACAGCAGGGAGAAGATTAATTACAAGCAGAGGCTCTGAGACTAAGAAAACATGAAAATATGAAGAGATGGAAACGCTACAGAGCTATGAAGGGAAGGAAGCTTGTAAAGGGCCATCAGGAATTGAGAGCTCAGAGGTAACCAGGGGGCAGATTCTGGGCATGATAGATTTCTTGAGGCACTAGGAAAAGTGAAGAAACTAAAAGCAGGGGCCACCATTCAGGAGACCAAGCAAGAAACAAGAGATAAACCAGTCCAATGACAATAAAAAAGGGAGCAGGGAGGATGGGCCACAGGATGTGGTGATTAACTGAAATGAACATTAAAGAGAAAGAAGAGTTTATTATGATTCCTAAATTCCAAACTTTGTTAAAGTCACCAATAATGGATAGAACTCTGAAGGAGACATCTGAAAACCTTGAATTTAAGATATACTGTAGAACATTCAACTGTAAGTGACCAGCAGCCAATGAAAGCATATAAAACTGAGACATTATGCCTAAAGATAAAAATCTAGGTCACATGAGGCTGGGTGTGATGGTACATACCTATATCCCAGCATTTGGAGGCTGAGACAGAAGGATCGTTGTAAGTTTGAGACCAGCCTGGGCTACAAAGTGAGCTCAAGGCCAGCCTCAACTGCACAGCAAAACCCTATTTCAAAAGGACAACAACAACAAAAAAAAATGTAGTGCACATTAATGTATAAAAGGTGCACATGAAACTGAACTAATTCAGAAAGATGATAACATTAGAAAAAAGGTAAAGAAAAAAAAAAAAAAGGTAAAGGAGAGACTAGAGAATGAAACCACAAAAAGGCAGAAGGACTGACAGGAACTATGGCCATAAGGTAAGGGAAAGGACAGTGGTAGTGCACAAGCAAGATGGGGGAGGGTGTTTTCATGAGAAAAGCCTGGGAATATTAGAATGCAGAAAAACAATACAAAGACTGAAGAAACAAGGCACTGAAGAGGTGTCAAAGGAGGTAGACAATGACAACATTTAAAACACCCATGGACACAGGAATACATCCATAGAAACTACAGAGAAGGTCAGCAGTAAGAATGAGTACATCCACAAAAGGTAAAACTGTGTGTGCATAAGGAAGGAACTGCTCATAACAATCAAAGCAGCTCCTACCTGATTGTCTGTCTGTCATCTTCTTTTTTCTTTCTTTCTTTCTTTTTTTTTTTTTTGGTACAAGGGACTGAACTCAGGATCTTGTACTTGCCCGGCAGGCGCTTATGCTTCTGAGCTATGTCCCTGGCCCAAAATTTTGTTTTTGTACCAGGAATCAAATTCACAATCTTGTGCTTGCCAGGCAGGCACTATGCCACTAAGCTATATTCCCAGCTCTCTGAGAGCCTTTCCTTATGTTAGAATGGGAGACTGTCCATCAAATGGATTGACACACACTTGTAATCACAGCTACACAGGTAGGCAGGTTGCAAAATGAAGCCTAACATGGGCAACTAAGTAAGATACTGTCCAAAAACTTAAAAAGGGGTAGGGATACAGCTCAGTGATATAGCACCTTGAATTCTAACCCCAGTACTGCAAGGAAAAAAAGTGAACTTGAGGGTCAGGGATATAGCTCAGCATTGCAAGTGCCTGCATGGCAAGTGCAAGGTCCTGAGTTTGATTCCCAGTACCAAAAAAAAAAAAAAAAAAAGTGAACTTAGAATCAACTGGCAGATACTCAGAAAAAGACTACGAGACACAGAGAAAACAAAACAAAAAAGACTCTTGGAACTAAAGATTTCAGTTACTGGTTACAGTGTATTTCTAGTAATTAATATATGTACAACTCTACAAAGACACATTTATACAAGGGATAAAATTAATAAGGACCATCAATGTGTGAAAGCACAAATAAAACAGAACTGAGCAATAAAAACTATAAGCAAAAGCTTATACTAAACTTAAATCATGTAAGAAGGCATGCTTGAGCCAGAGGTAAGAACAGGTTTACAGCAAGACATAGTGGCACATGCCTGTAATGCTAGTTACAGGAACTGAAAAAGGTGCTTTGCAAGTTCAAGGCCAGCCTTAACAAGTTAGAAAGCTTCTATCTTAATTTTTTTTTTTTTAAGTGCTGGGGATATAGCTCAGTGGTAAAGCACCCTGGGTTCAACCCCCAGTATACAAACCCCGAGTTCTCAGTTAAAAGGTAAATACAACCGAAAGTCTCTGCTGCCTTGGTTTAAAATTGGATTCCGTAAAATTTCACATCTGACAAGATGATACTCAAATGTAGCTTCATCCAAGAGAATCAGACCTCTTCAAGCACCACTGATCACCAGGCTTGATTTGAGGAGTCAGGACTCCTTACCTGAAGGTGACTTCGGGCACAAGACACTTCACTCCATTGTGGAAAGGCCGGGTGAGGGAAATGGTCTGGCTGACCTGGTCCACTGCTGACACTCTTCCTTGGTAGACACCCAAGCTGTCTCCACAGTTGATAGACACGATACTACCAAGCCAATCCGTAGCCATGTTTCAGAAGCAAGACACTATGAAAAGGAGGAACCATGCAATGCACCTTGAAGAAGAAACATCTATAATTAAACTCAAAAAAAAAAAAAAAAAATCAGATTCTGTTCCAGATGTTTCTTAACACATATTCTATCACAACCTTAACTGAGGTAAAAAGCATTTAATTTTTTTTCTCATCAATGTGCATAAGTAATATTACTTAATAACAAAGATTTTGTAATGCTTTAAATACAAATTAACTACATGCTGTGGTTGCCATGCCTCCAGGTGTGCTGAGCCAGCCACCAAGATTTGGCATAGTGGTACACGCCTGTAATCACAGCACTGGAGAGGCTGAAAACATACACTCACTAGGAGTCCAAGCTGTGTAGTGAGACCCTGTACCAAATACATTTAAAAAAAAAAAGTAAATACAAATTAAAGGTAACACTGACCAATTGGACAATGTGATTATTGGGAAGGCTAAGGCAGGAGGATCACAAGTTCAATACCAGCCTGAGTGATTTAGCAAGATCCTGTCTCAAAATTAAAAAAAAAAAAAAAAAAAAAAAAAGACTAGGGATGTAGCTCAATGCTTTCAAGAGACTATGTGGTCAACAAATAATGTTAATGATAAATTAGCCCCCCCCCAAAAAAAAGACAACTTAAGACATAATAGAACATGACACCTAACAACTGTAGAATTTACTCTTTTGTAGTCTGCATGGAACATTCACCTATACAGAAGCCCTTAAGCATGAATAAATTTCAAAGGACCAAAATCACAGTGAATTCTCTGTCTACAACAATTAAATTTGAGGGCTGGAGAGATGGCTCAGTGGTCTAAAGCACCTACTTGAAACAAGCTTGACAAAGCACAGGGACCGCGGTTCGATCCCCCAGCACCACATGCCAGCCAGCCGCGCCCCCTGGTGGGCTGAGCTGGCCACACACACACACACACA